ACAAGCACTGTTTTAATCCCCCCCACCCGCAAGGCTGGTCTGCCAAATTTTGGCAGCAAAATCCTAGAGAAGCTAAGGATTGGAAAGACCACAGAAGCTCAAGCCCCACTCCCTGCTCCGTGCAGGGATCCAAGGAAAAGCACCCCTCCTCTCGATCACATCCAGGGAAGGAAGGGGAGGGTCACACGGGCGGGCGGGCGACCCTGCACGTTGCCCTCCCAGCGAGACGTCAGTGGTTCTGACAGAGATGCTGTGTGGCTGCGCCAGGTGCCACCTCCCCTAATGGGAATCTCGTGACTACTCACCGTCCTGTTAGAGCAGGCATAATTGGAGTATTAGGGAACACTCACTTTAGGTCTATATTTCTGAAAGAATATTTGGAAGAGAAATGACAACTGGCTCTCATTGACAAGTTCTTCACATACTCAGAGATCCCTCACGAATTTCTGATTTACAGGAAAAGTCAAGATCCTGGTTGTCGGCAGGTGGCTTGTCTTATGCCTGGTGCGGATATTCAGCGTTCAAAGGTATCATTGGAGGACTCACCAGCTTAGACACTGTCTACCAACAGAAGACGCCGGCCTTTGGCCCAAAATCAGTGCTGGTACCAGAAAAAAAAAAAAAAAAAGACCAATGTGTGCTGGAGGCCTAGTTCTTGTTCTGCCTCTTATGGTTTTCTGAATATGCCGAGAAGCTCTTTAGTTTTCACTTTTTCAAGGCAGAGCTGCTGCAGCGATACTCGGTCTGAGTATCAAGAGTAAAAGATTCTCACAGGATGCTGAGCTAACTTTGATGGAAGCTGCTGACAAAACTGGAGGCACGCCTGTCTGCCGAAGAGACGTAGCGGGAGGCCGAAGTTATACAAAGGCTAGAAGAGCACAGCCCGCGTCAGCCACCTCAAAACCCACTTCTGGAGAAAAGCACGCGATGGAAAAGAGGCTATGCTGAGTCCGCCAAAGGAAGTTCTGGCATGGTAGACGGAAGACCGCGCGTGTCCTCCTCCAGGCAAAGGAGACTCTGAAAGTATCTGCCAGAGGTCGCGGACTAACTCCTGCGCTTGAAGCCCTTTTCAAAGAAAAGCCTTGGAGCCACGAAGCAAGAAGCAAAATGGTGGCAAAGTACTATAGTGAAAATAGAAGTGGAGAGGAAGGAAGAGCGAAAATAAAACGAAGAATGAAATTTGGACCATTATTTGACCCAAAGCAGAGAGCACGTATCAAGATCTCCTCCTGTCTCCAGCTCCGTTTCTCCTTGAGACCCTCCAGCAGGGGACGGCCAAGCGATGTGCGGCTGGAGTTGCTCTGGCAAATCCTCCAGGGTAGGGACACAGCAGTTACGCGGGTCTAAAAAGTGTCCTTGGGCCAGCAGAGTACAGACCTGACGGGAAAGGGTATAGAGAGAGCATTCTGCCCTTCCGTGAGACAGCAGACCCCAAGCAAATGTCCTTCTGCTCCCCTCCGACTCAGCATTTGTTTCAGGTGCAGGATACGACAATTACAACAATTTTAACCCCTAGGGTAAGGACTGATGAGATCATTCACGGAAAGAACAAGAACAGCGTCCTGAAGGCCCTAGCTAAAGCGCTCTTCGGAGCACTCTGCTTAATCCTTCTCTCGCAATGTGGGATTGAGGATGAGGAAGAGGAAGAGGAGGACCCCCTGAGCCAAGATAGGGTTTGCAGCCTCCAGGGCCCTCCAAGGGGAGCTGGACTTTGTATAAGAGAGAAGTTAATTCTTCTAGTCTGTTGTATTCCTAAGCTGATTGAGACTCGAAGTAACGCCTGCTAAAATTTCAAAAGGGACATGAATAGAGGTCAAGAGTTAATTGCACTTTCTCATGCTAACAAACTCAGAGGAATTAGCAAAAGGCATCAGTAAGAATTGGAGGGGGCAGTCAGAGATGTTACTTAGCTGTACACAATATGCATAGTTTAGGTTAACAATTTCCATTTTTCTTGGCAAGACATTTAAATTTTTAAACACAGAATATTCAGAGTCAGCAAAATTTCTCTTAGAAGAGAGAAATAGCTGCTGCTGCTGCTATTATTATTATTATTATTATTACTACTACTACTACTACTATTACTATTACTATTATTATTATTATTTTCTTTCCTGAAAGGTTTTTACGGGTCAAAAGATGTATTACCTTCCAGCCTGGCTTGGCAACATGCTTGAAATAGGGGAAATGATCCTCAATCCAGGAATAGATGTCTTTCAACATCATGCGCTTCTTCTCAGTGCTGTTGATGGCAAACTGGATCATGGCCATGTATGAGTAGGGGGGCCGTTCAGAGAAAGATTCGTGCCACAAAGCAGAAGAGACGGTGGCAGCTGTGGGGCTTCCCTCTGACTGGAATGTGGAAAAAAGGCAGGATTAAGAAAGAAGGGCGCTTAGAACATAACACAAAAATCCTCTGTAGCAGACAGGAACACCGGAATAGGATAGCTACTTTTCTGACTGTATTTCAACATTTACCCAAAAGGGAAAGTCTTCATTTGGGGCAATCACCTCCCACCATAGAAAATTAGACGCTAAAAATTCTTCACTGTATTCTCAGCAAATCGCGCTTAGAACATAACACAAAAATCCTCTGTAGCAGACAGGAACACCGGAATAGGATAGCTACTTTTCTGACTGTATTTCAACATTTACCCAAAAGGGAAAGTCTTCATTTGGGGCAATCACCTCCCACCATAGAAAATTAGACGCTAAAAATTCTTCACTGTATTCTCAGCAAATCCAAGAATACTCTCATTTTTTAAAAAATTAATCATTTAAACAGATTAAGTTTTAGGTTTTTTTCGGAATATTAGATTAAAAACTTTTTATTACATAAATTTTTAGATATTAGAGTAAGAGGCAAATATATTCTCTATCTATACCTGGATCAAGGAAACTCGGAAGCTATTCTTTCTTTCTTATCCCCACTCTTCTTCCATCCCCCCTTTTTTTTCTTTTCCCTTTTTTCTTGATTTTTCTGTATTTTAACGTTTTTGGAAAACATAATAAAATTTATATTAAAAAAAAGATTAATCATTTAAGAAAAATAACCTTCCCTTCAGGTAAATACAGGAATTTAGCAGAAACGCAGTAGGGAGGATTAAATATTCAGCTAAAACAACACAATTTTTTTAAAGCGAGGTTGTGAAACCACAGAGCCAATAAGATACAATGAGATATTGCAAGCTGAGGCAAAAATGATCCCCACAAGAAGGAGAAAGAGAAAAAAAGAAAATGAATGAAAGAATGAAGAGCATGCCCACTGACAAGCTAAAAAGGAGGTGAATATGAAACAGACGCAGGAGCTGGTCGCCAAGGAGGAGCACACGTGGGTAGCTTGAGCCTGCAGGGAAGAGCCTAGAAAGCTACGAGATGAGATTGGTCCCCCACACACACACACACACGACCCTCACATGCAAGCGTGGAGGAATGTCCAGTCAGAGGGTACCATGTGCTATATTCCCGCCCTACTTTTGGGCTTCTTATTGGCATCTGGGTGGCCACTCCTGTAACATAAAACTGAACGAAGAGGGTCTTAGGTCTAACCGAGAGTGGATTAGTGTTTACATACATACCCATCTTGTTCTTCCTCTGCAGGACAAGCAATACTAAGCAAAGTGTAGAAGACAACTAAAAAGTAGCAAGCAAGCAATAAATAAGTTAAATACTATATTAACTGGAGGCAGGAGATAAAAGGAATAAAAGGAAATCTTACTAAATCTAGTGTACAGGACTCCCATTCAAGTCACTTACTTTACCTTGGACTTTTAAAAAAACAGATTATAACGAACTTAGAGAAACTATAAGTAGGATCACACAGCAGAAGATGTTAACAGGAAACAGAGCTCAACTGGATGGGAGTTCCCAAAGGAGCTATTAAGAGCACAACTGCAAACAGTTCCAGTGAGAAAAAGCAGTAGAGGACAGCAGAAGAAATCAGTGCGGCTAAGGAAAAAGCTTAATTAAGACCTGAAAAAAGCAAAGAGAAAGAGAGAGTATGCAGAAATGGAAGAGGACCAGGTCACAAGGTGAGCTTGGAACAAGTAGCTGGAAGAGAAGAGCTGGTGCCTAGAAACTGAAAGCCCAGAACAAGCTAAAGTTAGCGAAAGAGGCTGTGAATAAAAGGGGTTCTTCAGATAATTTCAAAATAAAGGAAATGAAGAGAGGAAGTATACCTGCCGCTCAATGAAGACAACAAAAGGCTAGCTTGAAACACCAGAGCTACTCCATTCTTTCAGTTTTCACCAACAGAAATCCTTGTTTTCCACCAGAATTTTGTGAATGGCAGGAATGAGATTCATAGGAACGTATCCAGGGAATACCTCTTTACGCTGGATGTCAGGCCCTGGAGGAACTGCACTCTAGAGAACTCAAAGGAACTAGCTGGACCCTTATGCATTACTTCTGGGAAATCCCAGAGATTTGGTGAAGTATCAGATGACTGCAAGAAAGTAAATGTTGGTCCTTTCTTCAAACTGGGGAAAAGGGAATGTCCAGCATAGTACAGACCTGTCAGTCTAATATCAATATATGGGAACACTGTAAAGCATATCATAAAGAGGGTCTGTAAAGATCTTGAAATCAATGCATCAATTGACAGAAGTGGATTTGTCAAGGATGAGTCTTGCCAGATTAATGTTATCTGACTTTTTGACCAAGTAAATGCCTTAATAGATCGTGGGAATGCAGTGGACATAATCTATCTTGACTTCAGCAAAATATCTGAATGGAAGATGCGTCTTTGGTTTGTTTCAGGGATGGTCACAGATGTTTATGGTTGAAAACCACTTTTATTAAAGAAAACAAGTTTTTTTTCAGGAAAAAATCTTGTGATTTCATGTCTTTGAGCAATAAGTGAAATAATATTTACAGTATTTTTATGTTACAAACCTCTTTCTTAGAATTCTATTTCTAGTTGTTCTGGTACATAAGCAGGTGTACTTCAGCTCTTTTTTATTTGTTTTCAGCTTTTTTCACAGATGATCTCTGTGATTCAGTTATAAGTTTTCTCTTATAACTTATTTCTGGCATGGGAAATTCCCAGGATCTTCTGATCCTGTGGTTGCTTGGCAACCATGGACAATCTGTTCCCCCTGCCCTCCCTCTCCCCTTATCAATAAAGGCAGCTTTATATTTTCAGCCTAGCTTTTTACAGTGCGGGGGTGGAGGTGAAGACAGGAGTCAGCAGGTAGTAGCGTGCCAGTTCGCGGACCATTTCTGACTGGTATCATGGTGAACTCCAGCAAAACCTATTTCTGGGCCACAAGCGTGTACTCAGTGCCCAAAAGCTATATGCTTCTCTCCGGAAGCTGTAAATCTTCCCTTCTGCCCTTTTCCCATTAGGCAGATGTACAACAAATCTTTCCCTTTCTGATGAAGAAGAGCTCCGCTCCCTCCTATCTAGAGAAATTCTCCCACTCATCCTTCACAGTCCTATCTCTCTCTTGTACCTTCTAAAAAGATATTGGCCTACATGGCTGATATGCTCTCTGTGAGAGGGACACACTCAGGTGATTGGCAATCTTAAGTCATCCTGTCACATCATGACAATATAGTTGAAAGCCTGACTCACAGGTGCTCATTAATGGTTGCTCATGAAATTGCAGAGAAGTAGCAAAAGAATCATTCTGGGGTTCTCTACTCTTCAAAATTTCATCAATCGGTTGAAAGGAACACTTACCAAATTTGCAGATGATACAGAATTCGTTGGGACAGCTACTATCTGACAGAAATAAAATTTAAAAGGAAGTTGATGAGTTGAAGAAATGGGCTGCGACAGAGTGAAATTTAACAGAGACAAGTGTAAAATTCTTTTTGCAGGAAGCAAAAATCAAGTGTACCAGTGTAGGACACGAGAATACCTGGACTGCTAATTGTGCTTGCGAGAAAGAACTTGTAACAGTAATATTTCACAAACTGAGGATGAGTCAGCAGCTGATGTGGGTTGTAAAAGGTAAAAACAACCAGCAGTCAGAGCGGCTCAACAGGGGAACTGAGAACGATGCTAGGCCTGACCTTCACTGGAAGCATTCAAGCAGAATCTGGCACCTGTCTGGATTCCTGCCCGAGCAAAGGCCTGGAAGTGACGGCCTCAAGGGCCCCCTTCAACTGGATTGCTCTGTGGTGACGGGGGGGGGGGGGGGG